AGATGAACTTTTTCGCACTGTGATCCACAACATGCATTTATTACATATCTTTTTCTCAAAGAATTCACGAGAAAACTGAATCTGACATTAGTTTTTCGATACAGATAATTTTCGAAGCACTTTTCATACAAAAACTACTAAAAATGGGAATTTTTGTATCGCAGCCATGCCTATATGATATCGTAATCATGTGAAAATTTGCAGAGGTTATTTTTTTCACAAAAAGTTAACATTCTGAAAGTTTGAAGAAATGTCAATGCATATTAAGGATACTTCCCATACAAATTTTGCGTGCATCTAATGCATCAAAGAAAGTTCGCACAAAAGAGAATGAAAAATGTACATATGGCTACTTGATGTTTTTTGACCATTTCGTAGTGAATTCTACTGCTGATATTCGCCTAAGTAGCGAAGATGTGCCGAGTGTACATGAATCGTGAATCCTTCTAATACGGGTTACTAAAATCATGCTCAGTTAGATCCCAGCAAATCGGAGTTTTTTTAAACACCGGTTGAAAGAAAATGGTCAATATTGACCAAAGACAGTATGAGATAAATCAACACTGAGGTCACATTACGGATAATATTTTCAATTCCTAAACTGCTTTGTAATACTGAAGTCCATAGCGATCTAATGCCATAATAAACACTTGAAACGATCTCGTGGTATGAAAATTATGGTGGTGTATATTCAAAACTTCGACTAAAAAAAGACCACTTTCTTCATTTTTCTTCACATACATCATCCGATATTTTTTGGAATGGTAATTTTATTGTAAATTTACCCTTCTATCGTTGGAAGAAATCAATGTAGATGAATCTAACGTCATACAACCAAGCCCTATTGATAAAAAATCCAAAAGGCCACATTGAAACACTATCGGAAAACTCTCTTTTAGAATTCAAATCATCACAAAACGTTGCAAATCTTTGGGAATTTCTCCAAATATATTTTCTAGGTAGATTTTGAGTCATTCCAATGGAAATGGAGGATGTTTCTCGAACAAACTTTTCATTTTTGACTTAATGTTGACAATTTTATTTCAACCGGTAAATACTGGGTTTTAAATAAACAAAAACTTAGACGTACAGACCCCAGCTCAGTAATCAGCATGGCTCAGTAATCAGTGGACACGGCCCTATCATGCTATGATAATCGTTGCTATGGTCGTTACTAAAAATTCGAATTTGTTGACTGTTGAAATTCTTTAAATTTTCTGGTTTTTACCGATTTTTAAAAGATGTTACCTGGATTAGAAAATATGTATAATTTGGACATTTGATATTTATAAAGACTAAAATGGTCTTAGTTGATGAAATAAGATCAATTTGAAGGTTGAAATGTTATAACTAAGAATTATATTTTTTCGATTTTTTTGAAAAAGTTCTCTTCACTCTCGTTCAAGTCGCCACCCTATATGACATATAAACCCATCAAAAAATGGCTTTTTTGGAATCAGCTAATGCTTATACAATAACTCTGGGCTGTAGAGCCAAATCGAGAAAGATTCATACACCCTACTGGGCATATGTGCTAATCCCCCGAACCCTTTGGGAAATTTCAATACAATTGAGTGGTACCTTTCATACAAAATTTTCGTTTTTGAGCGAAAAATCCAAATTTTTGTTCGGGAGGTACCCCTAATATGCATTGAAATGTCTTCAAACTCGCGGAATGGTATTTTTGTGTCATAAAAATAACCTGTGCAAAGTTTCAGCTTATTACGATATCATACAAGCATTGCTTCCATACAAAAATCCAATTTTTTTGAAATTTTTGTATGAAAAGTGTGTCGAAAGTTATTTGTATCGCAAAACTAACGTCATATTCGGTTTTCTCGTACCCAAAAACTGAATTACTTTTCTTGTTTGAAAGTTATCGTGTTAACAAATTTTTGCGTACAGGGTACAGGGTACGCACATACATTCGGACATCGAAAAAACACTAGATTCGTGTTCCCTGGCCCCAAAAACACCCAGAAAACACATTTTTAATGAGTGTTAATTTTTCGACCGATTCCAATACTTTACCTTACACACTAGGTGTGTGCGGAAAAGTAATAAGGTGAAAGAATGTAAGCAGCAAGAAGAAAAATGTGTTTTGTGTGGCATCACAATGATTCGTGACCAAAACCATACGACTTATAGCGTAGGTACTAATCCACTCACTGTACTATAGTCTGTGTGAACAAAGTAACTGTGTGAACAAAAATTAATTTTTTCACGGCATGCGATTTTTCGTACCTTCGAGCCTGCAGATAAATATCTACCCAAAAACCAATTGTCAAATGGATATAAAATGGATGATCCTTTCTGGATGTGTTTTAGTTCATGTGTAAAAGACTTTAGAATGAAAAATATATTTTTACCAATAATTCATACTCCGCCTATGGCAACGAAATGGGCCTTCATTTTTCCCTTTTTTTAATACTAAAAATTCAAGTTAATCACATTTTTTTTAACTTATATTGGACGATTAAGTTTCTTGAAGTGCCTCCAAACGTCACATTGGAAGTCCAACATAATAGAGATCATTTAAAGAATCCAACAAAAATGAGTATTCTTGCATATTTCGACAGTTTAAGAATTTTGACTTTATAATTTTGGTCTTCCCGTTTGTATTATTACGTTTCATTGAAGAACAACCATCAACAAATGGAATGTTGTGTTATTTCACAACGTTTAAATAAGACCATCACGAAATGGTCTTCATATATTAAGGCACTTATTGACGAACAGATTTGTTTTTTCATCGCGAAAAGGATATTTTTATGTATTATTATGTTACAGCATCAACGAAACACTCATCGAAGCAATCAAATTCAAAATTCGCAACAAATTCAGTCTCAGATGCAGTCAAATGTACAAAATCACTCACAACAATTACCACAAAGAGGGATAAGCAGCACAAATACACCAATGCAAACGCTTACAAATCAATCACAACATACACCAAATAATCAAATACAGCAACATCTCTTACAATCTCAACAGCAACAACAACAACATCAACAGGTGATTTACACATTAAGATGCCGAAACTGAACTAAATGTTGTCGTCGATTTGTGTCAAAAACTTCTTTCCATTCAATTACAGTCGAAGAAAATGCGATTTTTTATGGCAATGTTCGATTATGACCCAAGTACAATGAGTCCGAATCCAGATGGTTGCGAAGAAGAGTTACCGTTTCAAGAAGGCGATACAATAAAGGTACGGTTAATAAGAGTACGCTAAATAATTTGAGTTTTCATCGAGATTCTGTACAAAGATATCTTTTTTGGTGTAATTTCCGGATGTTTCAGTCATATTGTAAAAATACCTCTTGAAAAAATTAAGATTTCCTACAATAATATTTCAATGCGGATACGATAGAAAAACGCGTGTATTGAAAGATGGTTGAGTCCTTACTAACTATTGTGTTGCGCAATTTCAAGTCCAATTTGAAAAATGTACAAGCCTTTAAATTACAGAATTTGACTGATAAGACTTCACTGTGGTCAACATTCTGTTCCAGACGAGATCAAGAAATGTTTCTTCTTATGATTGT